GCAAATAAAGCCAGATATACAGTAAGAACAACGTGGTACTAGGAAATAAAGCCAGATATACAGAAAGAACAACGTGGTGCTAGTAAATAAAGCCATACATACAGTAAGAACAACATGGTACTAGAAAATAAAGCTAGACATACAGTAAGAACAACATGGTACTAGAAAATAGAGCCAGATATACAGTAAGAACAACATGGTGCTAGGAAATAAAGCCAGATATACAGTAAGAACAACATGGTGCTAGGAAATAAAGCCAGATATACAGTAAGAACAACATGGTGCTAGGAAATAAAGCCAGATATACAGTAAGAACAACATGGTGCTAGGAAATAAAGCCAGATATACAGTAAGAACAACATGGTGCTAGTAAATAAAGCTAGATATACAGTAAGAACAACATGGTACTAGGAAATAAAGCCAGATATACAGAAAGGAATAACATCCTGAACAGGCTGATTGGATAACGATTACCTGGTTGAACAAACTGATTGGATACTAATTGAGTACTAATAGAAAAGTCTATTGCTTGATTAGATTTTCCCTAACCACTGCGATGATTGGTATCTGGACCAGAGATTGCACGAGCAATTAAGGAGCCTGTCTCGATCTGCTACCAGGAGAAAGTGCTGAAATTGCTGAAATTGCTGAAAGTGCAAACAGAGGAAACAGTACCATCTTTTAAATAATTTTGGTATTACGCGGGCGGATGTCGAACCCCCGAGCTTCCGCTCTCTGGGCTGACGCTCTTCCACTCGACCACTGAGGCGGCTTGAAAGGGATTGGTTTTCACTTCTAGTGTATTCTTACAGAGAATAGGGTTTCGTGGTAAACAAGACATACATTCTGACTGCTTAATCAGAACTCGTATGACAAATGCAATAGGGAACTAATATTCACGTAGAGGTTTTTTGAATAAAAACATAGGGAGAAAGGTTGAAGCTTAGGTATGCGGTTTTGAATATGAGCGGTGCGGGTTTGAAGCTGAGGGGTGTGGAGTTGAACTTCAACACCTCAGCTTCAAACACACACACCTCAGCTTCAACTTGAAGCTGAGGTGTGTGTGTTTGAAGCTGAGGCGTTCGAGTTGCATAGCTGAGGGTGTGTGTTTGAAGCTGAGGTGTGTGTGTTTGAAGCTGAGGTGTGTGTGTTTGAAGCTGAGTTGTATGTGTTTGAAGCTGAGGGGTGCAGGGTTGAAGCTGAGGGGTGCAGTGTTGAAGCTGAGTTGTTTGTGTTTGAAGCTGAGGGGTGAAGGTTTGAAGCAAAGGGGTGCAGGGTTAATGCTCAGTTGTGTGTGTTTGAAGCTAAGGAGTGCAGGGTTGAAGCTGAGGGGTGCGGGGTTGAGGCTGAGGTATGTGTGTTTGAAGTTGAGCTGTTTGTGTTTGAAGCTGAGGGGCGCAGGTTTGAAACTGAGGAGTGCGGGGTCGAAGCTGAGGGGTGCAGTGTTGAAGCTGAGTTGTTTGTGTTTGAAGCTGAGGGGTGAATGTTTGAAGCAAAGGGGTGCAGGGTTAATGCTCAGTTGTGTGTGTTTGAAGCGAAGGAGTGCGGGGTTGAAGCTGAGGGGTGCGGGGTTGAGGCTGAGGTATGTGTGTTTGAAGTTGAGCTGTGTGAGTTTAAAGCTGAGGGGTGCAGGTTTGAAACTGAGGAGTGCGGGGTTGAAGCTGAGGGGTGCAGTGTTGAAGCTGAGTTGTTTGTGTTTGAAGCTGAGGGGTGAAGGTTTGAAGCAAAGGGGTGCGGGGTTAAGGCTCAGTTGTGTGTGTTTGAAGCGAAGGAGTGCGGGGTTGAAGCTGAGGGGGGCGGGGTTGAGGCTGAGGTATGTGTGTTTGAAGTTGAGCTGTTTGAGTTTGAAGCTGAGGGGTGCAGGTTTGAAACTGAGGAGTGCGGGGTTGAAGCTGAGGGGTGCTGGTTTGAAGCTGAGGTGTGTCTGTTTGGAGCTTAGGGGTGCAGGTTTGAAGCTGAGGTGTGTCTGTTTGAAGCTGAAGGGTTCAGGTCTGAAGCTGAGGGGTGCTGGTTTGAAGCTGAGGTGTGTCTGTTTGGAGCTTAGGGGTGCAGGTTTGAACCTGAAGTGTGTCTGTTTGAAGCTGAAGGGTTCAGGTCTGAAGCTGAGGGGTGTAGGTTTGAAGCTGAGGGGTGCAGGTTTGAAGCTAAGGGTCGCGGGGTAGAAGCTGAGGGGTGCGGGGTTGAAGTTGAGGTGTGTCTGTTAGACGCTGAGGGGTGCAGGGTTGAAGAGCTGAGGAGTGCGGGTTTGATGCTGAGGCGTGTCTGTTTGAAGCTGAGCTGTGCCTGTTTGAAGCTGGTGGGTGCGGGATGCAGGTGTGGAGGGCGAAGCAAAGTATAAAAACCGACATCGAGGTCTTGACTGAGAATGTAAGCCTGGGACAGAGGGATATTTGGGAGGGGTTGTAAACCGTCCAAATGCAAGAAGTTCCAGAAAGAATAAAAAAGACCTGGGGGTACCGTGAAACAATACAGTGCGTCGCGGTATAAAAGAAATTTGTTGAAGGCGTGCGAGAGAAAGACCACGAGCAGCATGGACATGGCTGAAGTCATGACATGGATGATTGAACATCCATTCAACATCTGGCCCGGTGGCTCAGTGCGAACTTAAATAACTTTAAAACCTTGGCCTTACAATTCAATAGTAAAATCGCCTTGCAGGTGTTACATTCAAATGAAAACCTCCCAGCAGGTCTCACTTGAAAGTAGTACCTCTCATTAAGTGACAAGGATTCGGGCGTTTATTCTGATAGTTGGGGCATTTCCTTGCGAACGCCTGGTTAATCAATGGTTAATTTATCAGCTTTGTAAAGAACCTAGTCTCACAGTAGTTTTACGTCACAGAATGTTTATACGTTCAAGAATGCGGAGATGTATAACAGGTGCTGCAGTGGTCCTTTGCACGTGACAGGTTTTCAGTGTTGTCACACAGTAGCGGAGGATCCCGACGTTTCACTCATCGCTGAGCCAGCAGAGTTGAACCAGAAGGGAAAGTTCGAGGTTAAGGGGATCGGGAAGGATTTCGTCCTGACAGCGAGTGACAGACAGGTCAGTTAACACCCTCGGTAGGGGTCTGCATCCATTCAAGTATAGCCCTGTCAATTATAAAAACCGAAAGAAACTTACAGATTTGATCAACTCTTCAAAAGACATCTTTGATGCTTGCATATAATATGTGAATGAGCTTTGAATTATGAGGATCAACGGAAATATTATCCATTGCCGCCATTTGACAGAACCTGAAGAAAGACCTGTACAATGTCAAAACTATGTCTCTGAAGTCGACGTTGTGTTTTGATGACGCAACGTCATCAGTTCAAGACGTCATCAATATCATGTGACGTCATATTGTATTGTCAAGAATGCAGCAGTGTGACATCATGTTATTGTTAACCAATCAGTCTTTATCGGCTATAATACATGTGGAGTATCGGAAAGTTAATACAACTGAAGGTGTGAACGGTACTGGTAATATGTGTGTGTATATCCCTCAGTTTGTGGACAAATGGAACAAGGCGTAGACAAGGAGTCGTTCCAGTGGAGGGACTTCATGTAGGTGAGTCACAGTCACCTTCTGACTGCATGCCTTAACGATGGCCACGAGTCATAGTCTCATTCTGACTGTAGGCCTCCACGATGGCCGCTAGTCACAGTCATTATCTGACTGTAGGCCTTTACGATGGCCACGAGTCAGAGTCACATTCTGACTGTAGGCATCCACGATGGCCGCTTGTCACAGTCACAAACTGGATGTAGGCCTCGGCGATTGCCACGAGACACAGTCACAAACTCGATGTAGGCCTCGGTGATGGCCACCAGTCACAGTCACATTCTGACTGTAGGCTTCCACGATGGCCGCTAGTCAAAGTCACAATCTCGCTGTAGGCCTCGGCGATTGCCACGAGTCATAATCACATTCTGACTGTATTGCTAGTGTAGTTCATGCTGTGTACAAATTTTTTTATATGGTTCATATGGTGTACAAGTTATAAATGTTGTTCGCGTGGAGTACAAGTCATAAATGTGGTTCACGTGGTGTACAAGTTATACATGTAATTCATGTGGTGTACAAGTTCTTACTGTGGTTCAGGTGATGTACACGTTATAAATGTGGATCACGTGGTGTACAAGTCATCAATGTGGTTCATGTGGTGTACAAACAAAAAATGCGATTCCAGGCAGCAGCAGTGGTACAGCTCGGCACTATGGCATCCAGGCAATTAAAGACTTTGGCTTGAAGGAGGGCCAGAGGTGTGTCGTCATCTTCATCGACTCCATCAGGAACTACATGTAAGTGGTGGCAGATGGAGGCAGTTCGGCCGCAGCAGAGGGATACAGAACCCACGTTCTATGTAGTCATGCTCAGGAAATTCGGGAAATTCCCCATCGCAAAATAGAGGTTATACGTAAAACGGAACCTGCGACTCACTCACTCACTCTACTCATGATGTGGTTTGCCGTCATAGAGCAAAGGACAATGTAACAAGGCTGAAGTCTGTGAGTTTGTTTGTTATTATTAGTAGTAACGTGGTCCTTTGGCTAGAATTATTATTATTAGTTACATGGTCCTGTGGACAGAGTTGCGTGTCGTCTTTGAAGCAGAACAAGGCTGACTACAGCCCCTGATGGTGGAGTTAATGGCGGGTTTTTTGCCACTGTTGGGAGTCATTGTAAGAAATGTTTTTGTAGACACATTGATCACTCTGTACAAACGCAGTGAGGTACTGACTTTGTCTCCTGTTGCAGGACGCGGTTCCTCAATGACGAGTAGATAGGGGAGAAGGGTTACCTAGAGGATGAAGAGGAGGAACCCACAGGATTCTAGAGAGCCGTCTCACGTTATCTGTACCACCTCTGTGGTCCATTGGTAGAAAAGGCAAAGAACCGTTTTGAGGGAATAGGTCAATATTTAATTGACAATAAATTCTTAATGTGTTAAAACAATGTAAAAATACCTCAAAATTCCCAAAACGGTTGTCATACCCTAGTCTATACTTTTTGTCTTCTTTTTTTTTACTTTAAGAGAGCTGCTACACCTAAAGCTCGTGCGAATTTACAGTGCAAGTCCTTTTCAATTGTGATATAACGCTCAAATGCGTTTGACTTCCAGTCACCAAGTAGTTTTATCAGCACTTGTGGCATGCCGATATTCAAAGCAAAAGTACAGCCTCCCGTCCGAAAGGAATGTCCACTGTAATCTTGAGGTGATAACCCACATGCCGCTAGCACACGGCGCAACGCCTTGATAAACATTTCGTGAGTCACACTGTTAACCCGACCTTTGGCCAGAATGAGAACACATGGCATGTCACCGGTATCATGCTCTGGACCTGGCGAAGAGATTGTAAAGCTGATACTGGACACAAGAGTGAGCAGGCCATGTTACACAAGGGAACTTGCAGAATCCAGAATCCAAACTGGATAGTTTTGCTATGTCTTATTGTTAAGAGCACTTTATCACTATACCATGTGACGTCACGAATACACAACTGCTTGTTAGGGCTTTGATTTTCCACATTGGAGGGCAACAGAGTCGATTTTCTTAAAAATGTGAAAAAAACACCACACAGGCTGACCAGAAAGCTGTGTTGAACGGTGAGGTCAGGTCTGAATTTTTGACGTATCTTCACAAGAATAACAAGCGTGATCAGTAGCTTCTGTGCTGGTGGTTTACCTTCTAATCTCATTATTTACAATCCGAATATGTAGGTTACGGAAAGGGACGAGTGGTGTCGAACACTTCTCTTGGTTGGGAGAGCAGCGAGGAGAAGGATGCGAAAAACAATCTACGCTAGTGCTGTTGAGGAGCTTCCTTCCACTATTTAATTACAACGTAGCGCCGGGAACGAGGCATCGCTGTGAGGAGCTAGGACTAGCTGCATTTAGATTTGTCGTGACCTGCTGACAGGGGGCGGATCTCGTCCGCGCATTTCTCCATGATACAACACAGTAAGTAAGTGTCGACGAATTCAAGCTTATTTGTTAATCATCCCTATGTGACTATCTATTGTCGTGTTAAATTTGAGAACGAATAGTTCAGTGTGTATACTAATATAGACGCGATGTTGGTGACTGAGATAACAAAACTAGCCCAGAAGCGTTATGAAGTACAACATACTATGTTTGTTGGTGCCGTTGTTACAGAATGGCAAAATCCAACATATACCATAAACAAGGGATAAATTACTTTTTACTCATAAAGATTGCTGCATGTAGATTTATTTTTACAATGTGTTACATGCATGTGTCATGGTTCTTACACTTAACTAAAAAATAATGAAATTTGGTACTTTTGGAGGTAGCAGGGGGCCTCAAAATGTATCTGTAAATATCTGTCATGCACACATTGTTCAAATTGAAAACTATAACGTTGTGAGTGCGTAGTTTAGGTACAATCATGAATCATGTTTCTCAAGGAGAGTTACATCCCTAATGCTATGCGTACTGTATGTATACTCCTGTGCCCTCACACGTCACGCTGTACAAAGTCCTCACATCTCGCTACATGTAAAAGCAGGTCAACATTCACGCCTGCCCTCTTGATAACAGTGATAACGTGTTAAGGATAATAATTTATAGTTAGGGCTGAAAAAAATATTTTCCTTATGATTCATGCATTCATGTTTACATCTAACTCATTACTCATATCATAGAGTTTGTCCCTCTTTTTAATATTTCCCGACTTACAAAAACATGTTTAATGTACAAATGTACAGTGATGAATGGTTTAATCTTTAGCCTGCTGATTGTTATCAGCATAAGGCCCCGTAAAGAGGATGATAAGGTATCTTTTAAAACTGACATCAAACAAAAACAACACCAAATAAAGCATGGTAGGCACGGCACGCAATAATGGTACCAATACTCACCACTGTTACTGCAAATATTCTACCTTTGGAAAGTTGCCATGGCTCGCCGAAGCGAGAGCTGAGAGTAGCGAGCCCAAAGTCACATAGTGGGTGACCGTAGTCCTTCTCTTAGACTTGTTTGCCCTAGAGAAATTACGTGTGCCGCCGCTGGGCTCCGTCTCTCATATCACACCTTTCCTTTGGCGCAAGTTGACGATGCGCATAAGGAGTCTGTAATCAGGTTAGGTACCAGTCTATCCTGGATGGGGGAACAGTGACACTAGGCGGAGGATGCAGGATATAGTTTATTCTAGTACTGCGGAGGAGCTTCCCCCGCTATTTACATACAAGAAAGTACCAGGAACGAGGCATCGCTGAGAGGAGCTTGGATATATGCGGCGTAAACACAGTTATATTTAACACTATTTTTTTCCAGCGTCTTGTTATTCCCCGCCCTGAAGGCAGGGAAGTTTACCGGAACCGTTACTTTTGTAGCATGTATGTCGACATGTTGGTTTATTTGAAATTTCAAGCCACGCATTTACCGAAACGAAACATACAAATCATGTGCGTGGAATGTTGATGCTATTTTTTGGCAGCAATAAGAGATACTTCAAAATCGTCTTGCTATTCTGAGACTTACACACGTTTCGTAATGCAGATAGCCCATGACATTTGTTCATTTTGTTTATTAAAGAGTTAAAAATGTTTAGGGGAAATATATATCTCATTTTGCTAAAATTAACCAGTCTATATTTTGTAAGAATAAACTATTGTGCTTTGAGCGATTATCTCCTTTATCTATAGGCGCAGGAAAGAGCTTTATCACGCGCTGACCTTGCAATGCTGTACATTATCTTATTCAAGCTGTATCACTGAGCGTGAGTGATTATCTCCCTTACCCGAACAGCTCTGTTACGCACTACCTTTGCAATGTATAGTATGTTATTCAGGCAGCCATCGAGAAAGGTTCCAGGGAAAGGTTCCTCTGTCATAGGTTTCTGGCGTGCCTAAGGGACACAACTCTGTATAGCAAATTACAGCGCCTTAGGCGACTTTGCCCCCGTACACAACTGTAAGAAACTATCATACAACATATATTTTAGACGAGATATGTCCACTCCATGAAGAAACAGTGGCAATATTACACTATCACAAACAACAAAATACATGCACTATAAACGACAATTGAAAAACAAAGGTACATTCAACATACAAAGGAGGTACATTATAACAATTTTATTTCAAAACAAGTGTATTATAATGATATTGAAACAATATGAAAATTGAGCGAAACCATGGTAATGTTGTACATACAAGGAATTTGTTTGTAATTGTTGATATGATAACAGATGTTTCTGGATAACTGTTGGTAAAATCATTAATAACTGTTCCTTTTAACAGAGTGTACCAAATTCTTTATCACGATTTAGAATTATTTGTGATTCTTTTTCTTGGTTTTGCATAATGTTGCTCATCTTCTGAGACATCACATATTTCACAGAGACGTTGTTCCAATGGGGTTGTTTTTTTGTATACCTACCATTTTTTTCAATTTTTAGTTTGTGATTACTTAAACAAAGTTTTGAGAAAAGTGACCTATGACCTTTCTTTTTACAATATGGAAGATAATTCTCAATATTTATAGATGACTTGACCAAACTGTGTGTTCTTAACTTGCTGTTAGATAAATAGGAATCCCTAAATGAATGCGTGAATTTTTATAATGGAACTGAAGTTAATTTACAGTGGAGTCATTACATTTTTTAAGTTTGTTTTATTTAACCCAACCAACATGTTGGCCAGAAATATTGATATTTGCTGCAAACGCATGTTAAAGAATGACATGTGTTGTGTTATCTATATATTATATCAATTTATTCTTTTTATTGGTACTATTAGTGGGTATATATCAAGTTTTCTTGCCTGGTATTTCCTTGTGCTGACCATTTAAAGACACTGTTTCTTGTTTTGTGCTTTCCAAAGATAACTATATTAATAACAACCAATTTGTACTTTACACCAATTCTCTCCTCCCATAGCTTACACGTACTTCCTCGGCACACATCTTTATAATGCGGGGAACAATTGATCCTCTGCAGTAATCTCTACTTGTTTTAGAATGAGGGCTCGGTGTTCAGAGCTCGTCCACTAATTTCCCTATGATACAGCACATAAAGTAAGTGTCGACGGATTTATGCTTTTCTGTAATTATCACTGTGTGACTAGTTATTGTCGGGTTGAATTTGAGAACGAATAGTTACTTACTTACCTAAATTACTGTAGGAGATTTAACGTGAGCTTTCCGACTTTATGCGTATTTCACACACGTTAGAAACGAACAAATATATAGTTCAGTGTGTATTCTATAAGGTGAGTATGCTTGTCGTAAGAGGCGACTTACGAGATCGGGTGGTCAGACTTTGTTGATGCATATCATCGTATCCTAATTGCGTGGATCGATGGTCATGATGTCAATCACTGGATTGTCTAGTCCAGACTCGATTATTTACAGACCGCTTAATACTAACAAACAAAACAAATAATAAAATAGTAATATAGAAAAGATGTTGGTGACTGTGACAACGAAATTAGCCCAGTAGCATCAGGAAGTATAACTATGTTGGTCCCGTTGTTACAGGATGGCGAAATCAGTAACAATAACCTAAGGAACAATTTCTTTTCAATCACAAAGATCGCTGCATGCAGACTTATTTTTACAATGTTTTACATGTATTTGTTATGGTCCTCACAGACTTGGCACGTAATGGATAGAAGTGAAAATGGATCAGTTTGTGTTACATCAAAACGGCTCATTATCACCTAATGTCATGAGGGGCCGGGCGGAAGTCTCACTTTTTGCCATTGCTCTCACGCTTTAGGGCTCGTAGTGGATTCAAGTCAAAACGGACCAGTGTGAGTGACGTCAAAACGACAAATCAACTCTCACATTTCAACAAGAGGACATTGTGGCAGTGCATGAAAGTTACTCCACCAATATTTGCATATAGGCTATTGGGGTGGATAAAATTGACCAAGGAATCAATCAAGTAATGCCTATTTTAGTATCAACTGGCGCGATTTTGTCATGCAGTTTTTGTCGTTTGTGGGAATTTTGTTTTGACATTACATATTGTTTCTTGATTAATATGATACGTCAACAAAAGTTGAAATCGGTTTCTCATTTCTTTTCAATTTACACTTGCATCAAACTAACTATACATCAGAAACTGTAATTAAAAAAATGTATATCCCCAAAGCCATATTTCTTTCTTTAAATAGGATAATAAGGCACTTAGTAATTGCCAGGTGTGTCTAACATTAAACATTCCTTACGCTCTTTATTTGGCTCCGACTAATGCATTTCCTTTATTATATTCCGAAAAACCAAAAGAAACAATGACAATATTATGACTAAGAATCTGAGATCCCTTTCAGAATAGTTTCTTCAATAACATACTTTTGTGAATATATGGATGTTATCACGACAGTGTTTTGGAATGGTAAATATCTTGTTTGGGGTGTAAACTTTGAATTGAGGCAACCATGGGTATTTATGGCTACTTTATTATTATTTACTAAAACTGTAATGAAATTTAGTACTTTTGCCATGGGGTCAAACCGTATCTTCAGGTTTGTTTTGGCGATATAGAGACTCATTGAGTAAAGTTTGAAAACCATAATAAAACGGTTTTGTTGAGCATCAGTGTGAAAGCACACAAATACATGTATACAACAGAGCAACAACCATGGCAAACATCAGTGACCCGCTTTGTCACAAGTTTGTGGTACGATAGTCAAACAGGAACATTTCAGACAACATGGTGATATTGTTTTGTAATATTAAAGTTCTATGAAATCAAGTAGTCATCTTCATCATCATTTATTGTATTCTGGCCATAGGCCCATATACATACAATGACATTATATATATACAATTTTGTACATGTACAAATATTAACATGCAGACTTATATGCACAGAGATATGCACGTGTACAATTTTATGAAAAATAAGTCGCATCACAACACAACAAGAAGAGATGAAAGCATTTGATTAATAAAGGCAAATAACCTCAAGAATAAGTAATCATCATTTGTAAAAAAAGACGGTTGCGAAGACGTAAACTATAATTAATGTATAGGATAGTACTCGTTTGTTGCTCGTCAGTACCACAAGTTGAAAGGTTGTTTACTCATCTTGTTTTGTTTTGGTTTCACGCTTGCAGATGATCCAAGGGAGACAATTTTTAAGGGCGGTCATTATGGATGAAACTCGTGCTGTCATACTGGTCTTAGTTTTCAAGACGGTGGAATATGACTTTTGAAGAAAAATGTGTAATTTTTGCTTTTCTATTGTACTGAGAGCTAGCACCGATTTGACAAGAAAATCCAGTTGCGCTACAGTGCTGTGGCAGAGAATTATCATACTTGATACACTGATACCAAATGTAAGGCTGTCCTTTAGGCAGACACTGTACACGTTAGGACTTTTGTCTTGTAGGTTGATGCTGATTAGTTAGATGCCTACTTAGATTGGATACACTGATGAAAAAAAAGAAACAGTGAAGTATGTTCAAAGCCTGAATCAGAACGATCAAGGCCAGATGGATGCTAGTGACACAGAGTGTGGAGGATGTACACCAGCAGAGTGCCCTGGGAGTCACAATGACGGGGACACTTCATCAGACGGGGAAAACATGGAGCTTGCAGGTACTCACGAGGACAACCCTCAAGGAACAACTGAAGGAGCAGGCTGTACTACGGAGGATGCAGATGTTGATGATAGTGGCACAGAGTGTGGAGGATGTACACCAGCAAAGTGCAGGAGGAAGCACAACGACGGGGACACGTCATCAGACGGGGAAAACATGGAGCTGGCAGGTACTCAAAAGGACAACCTTCAAGGAACAACTGAAGGAGCAGGCTGTACTACGGAGGATGCAGATGTTGATGATAGTGACACAGAGTGTGAAGGATGTACACCAGCAAGGTGCAGGAGGAAGCACAACGACGGGGACACGTCATCAGACGGGGAAAATATGGAGCTGGCAGGTACTCACAAGGACAACCCTCAAGGAACAACTGAAGGAGCAGGCTGTACTACGGAGGATGCAGATGTTGATGATAGTGACACAGAGTGTGAAGGATGTACACCAGCAAAGTGCATGAGGAAGCACAGCGACGGGAACACTTCATCAGACGGGGAAAACATGGAGCTTGCAGGTACTCACGAGGACAACCCTCAAGGAACAACTGAAGGAGCAGGCTGTACTACGGAGGATGCAGATGTTGATGATAGTGACACAGAGCGTGGGGAATGTACACCAGCAAAGTGCAGGAGGAAGCCCAATGACGGGGACGCGGCATCAGACGGGGAAAACACGGAGCTTGCAGGTATTGCCACGGACAACCCTCAAGGAACAACTGAAGGAGCACACAGTACTACGGATGATGCAGAAAATAAAGATGTTGATGAAGAGAGTGCTGACGAATGCTTGTTTGATGACATCACAGATGAGGAAGAGGGGGAAGGAATAGAAGACTTGTCACAGCTTGGAGCAGGTACTGTAGCGGTCAAACTCCAGACTGTTCAACAAGAGTCATACCAACTTGCAGAGAAAGGTTTGTATGAAGCAATTTCACTTTGCTTGTTGAGGATGCTGTTTTAAAATCCCACCATGTCAGTGGCTGTTAAAGACAGTAAGGTGCTACCTGAGGAATTGAAGTATATGGACAGGAAAATATTTTTCAATTAATAAGATAGATACTAGTATTTTGAAATCCTACTCAATTACTGATATTAACATGTGTTTTCCAAAGAGAAACACATCACCAATCGCACCTGAAGAACAACCATAGTAAGGTGTATCTGTCAGATAGTCCCGTTACTACACTTTGTATCACAACGAGGGGCGGTCGGGTAGCCTATAGTGGTTAAAGCGTTTGCTCGTCATGCCGGAGACCCAGGTTCGATTCCCGACATGGGTGCAATGTGTGAAGCCCATTTCTAGTGTCCCCCGCCTTGATATTGCTGGAATATTGCTAAAAGCGACGTAAAACCATACTCAGCCACTCACTGTATCACAACGTGTTCAGTGTATTTACTACTGCATTAACACTTTCAAGTACTTACAATAATGTGCATATTAGTTTCGACACAATCGTGTGGAGCCTTGCACAATCCTTTATTCAAATGTTTAACTCACTATAACTGTTTGTTACCACGGCTAGGGTGGTGAAAATAAACCTATTGGGGATTTGGTATTGAGCTACAGCTGCACAACCAGATTTTGTAAAATGAGTCTAAATATGTTTTACTTAAAAACACCTTTTAACAATGTAATTTTAATGGCAGGCAATGTCTTTTTCAGCAGTATTTTCTTTCAAATTGAATCACAGATTATTTATATTGTAGACATAGTTTTCAAATAGCTTTAGATCCAACTGTGACATGCTTGTTCCTTCGTAGATACTACGACACTAGCACAACACATTGTTGGATGTTGTCAACAACCACAGGGAGAAATAGCGTCAACACCGCAGCAGGGGAAACAACTCCAACCAGCTTCAGATGGTGATGTTGATCAGACAACAAGCCAGGCACAAGTGTCCTCAACTACATCTTGTGTAGTTCCTAACACAACCAGTCTACAGAACCCGACAACAGCAGCCCTGACACCAGCGTCCACATCATCTCTTCTACCCAGAATACCAGGATCTGTTGTATCAGAGATACACTCGTCCGGGCTACCTGTGGCACCAGTGACTGGTGATTCTCCTGTAGGTGAGTGCAGATAAACAGGGACATGACTAATTGCTCAAATATCTAATACCTTCAACATGGTGTTTTCAAATGACTTTCCTTTTTTAAGCTAATAGGCTATGACAGTATTGCCTTAATTATTTTACAGGGATGTCATTAACCCTATACAACCACTATACAAGTTCCACCTCTGCTCAATTGCAGGTTTGCCACTTTTGAACAATCGTTACACGAAAGTCACCATTTACGAAAATATAGCAACTAATATGAAGGAGCAGTTTGTTGTCTGTTCATGACAGTTGTCTGTTTTCAGTATCGTGAGAAATATCTCTGTTTAAATATGAAACACAATCTTGAAAGCTTCAGGTATATGGTTTCTGTTACAGTCACCCAGTACAACCTTATCCAAGTACGGCAGCAGTTTGGTGATGTGACAGTCCAGGGCGCCAGGAATCTGAACATTGGCGGAACGCAGAACGTTGGTACACCTCAGACCCGCCCGGATGAGGAGGAGAAGCCATTGACTGTTGCAGCACGGACGATCAGGAGTGAGTTATCTAGATCCCTGAACTGTTATCAAAGAATATGTTTACCTTGGTATTTTATTTACAAACACTGGTAGATTTTGCAAGGCCCTTAAAAGACTGACAGTTATCTAGATCTCTGTACTTGTTCTTACAATGATTGTTCAGCTGAGTCATATATATTTTGTAGAAAACGCTGGCTGTGATAATCTTCATAATTGTTCCAAATGTCACCCCGTGCACACAGTTAACGTGTTCATGACTATAATTTACATCGAGTTTTGTGATGAATCTAGCAAAGTCACTGAAGTATTATTTCTTGATCTTTGTTACATTTCACATTATGTTACATCCCTACAGGACCATATACAAATTGTAGCGTGTCCATATGATTTTTTCGTCTAAATCACTCAGATCAAATGTATGTTGGTAGGTTGTTCGGGCGTATTTGTATCTCTGTACTTGTTCTCACAATGATTGTTCAGCTGAAGCATATAAACTGACGTCCAAAAGAAACTTTACCAACTGAAAATACAAATTTCAGACAAAGTTAAAAAAAATTTCGATGAAGTCTATCTAAAACACATAACCTAAATACAACAATAGTGTTGGCAGAAAATGTTAATCGTCTGTTACATATCTGCGAGATAACACGCGAAAAAATGAAATACACGTGCACCACGGACAACTGCACATGCACGTGCGGGTAAGGGTATAAAACGATTGCAATGGCAAGTAAGACATCCACAGTGATAAAAAAAAACACAAAAGAAATGCTACGACTCACGGTCGAACAACGTGAACGAGCCTTGGGTATGGTACAGATGGGAGCCACCCACGCCAATATCGCACGAACCTTCGGTTGCTCCCGTGTTGCCATTACCAACTTGATGCAACGTTACAGACAGACAGGGCGGACCGCTGACAGGCCAAGAACAGGCAGACCTATGGTGACCACGCCCCATGATGACCGGTACTTGCGTACCTTGCACCTCCGAAATCGCTTCCTGATAGTGACGTCATCGGCGACAAATGCCTTTAGGTTACAGGGTTAGTCGACAGACAGTGGCCAGGAGACTCAGGGCTCATGGAATCAGGGCTTTCAGACCATACAGAGGACAGCTATTGCCAGCGCAACATCGTCGTCTGCGATTGAGATGGGCCCGGACTGTACGACGTTGGCAACGACGTGACTAGCAGAGGGTTGTCTTCACTGACGAAAGTCGATTCTGTATGTTTAGGGCTGATGGAAGAGAACGTGTTTACCGCCGGAGGGGTGAACGAACGGCGGCGTGTTGCGTGCAGGAGGTCGTACCATATGGTGGAGGGAGTGTCATGGTGTGGGGAGGGATCTGTGGGCAGGAGAGGACACCGCTGGTCATCGTTGACGGAAACTTGACAGCTCAGCGGTACATGGATAACATTCGTCGGCCAGTTGCCCTACCATTTCTCCAACAGCAGCCACGTGGTGTCATTTGTCAGCATGACAACGCTAGCGCCTATACAGCCAGAATTGTCACTAACTTCCTCGCAGCTAACAACGTCAACGTCCTGCCGTGGCCTGCATGCTCACCCGACATGTCCCCCATAGACCTCTGGGACTTGATGGATCGAAGGGTTCGACAACGACCACACTCTCCAGCCAACCGGCAAGAACTGATTTTGGCCCTCCACGACGAATGGCGTCAAATCCCACGTGACCTCACCAGACGACTTCCTTTTTCTGTGTGTCGAAGAGATTTTGCGTGTATTGAGGCATTTGGTGGTCACACACACTACTAATGACTTGTTATTGAACGTGAGCGATTATTTATGTACTCTGCCTATTGTCCATGATTCTGAAAGCTCGAGTTTGATCTTCACAATACACTTTACTTCATGCATGTATGTTTTGTTGTTTTTTAGCAAGAGTGATTTCAAACTCTGGTAAAGTTTCTTTTGGAGGTCAGTTTATATTTTGTAGTAAACGTTGGCTGTGATAATCTTCATATTCGTTCCAACTGAAAACAAGGTAATTTGGCCAAGACGTTTATCTTAGGGTTCAGGTATATTAGTGATCGGATATCAGTCAATGACCCTTTCACTGATTACACCACCTGAACTATAAATAAGGGTTGGACTGTTTTTCGTATTTAGATCTATGAATGAAGATTCTGAGTGACACAACACCTCTCCATAAGACTGTACTTTTAAAAGTAAAATTTCCCATTATGTCTAACAGGATACATACCCATCACCTACTTCCAAGGACCTGGTATCATCACTATTTGATAGTGATTCATAAACAGGTGTTTATGATACATAGACAGAATCCTTCAGTGGACTGTTGCTTATGATTATCAAAACGGTTTTGTCACTTTAATTCTATACTTTGGTATTCTGGCTCCTTCGTTCATATGAACATTCTGTTATGATCCACAATCAGAACAGGTACTATTCAAACGTTTCTTAAACTGTCTGCTCTCTGGTTCAGAACAAATATATTGCAGACCTATATCGAAAAATAGAGAAATGCTGTGAAAAGCAGTGTTTCAATTTAAACAATTTGAAGGTGTCACATTTGATTCAAGAGGTTTTGTGCAAACTATTGATTGTATATCGACAATATTCAACATTCACAGGATGAATTTAGTATTGTCAAACCTCTTGGTGAAATTATGTTACTAATTTTTTTACAGTCATTGTTGACATGATTTTATTTCATATAAAGTTTGTAAATATTGTAGTCACAATATGAAATACTGTAAAAATGTTAACTCACTCACTCACTGACACATTTCAAAATCAGGGATCTCAGAGTCAAATTGTATGTGATGGATATGGGCCACACTTTATTCCTTTAATTGAGGTCAAATTAAAATATGGTAGACTGTATACTTTTAAACATATTTTTATATAGTTTTATATATATGCCTTGTTTTTACAGAAAGAACGGAATCCAGGATTCAGTCAATGACTAAAGACATGGTGGAGACAGAAGCCCTGCAGAAAGTGACGGAGAAGCTGGACAGAGGAGCAACATGGGTGACACTTAAAGGAAGGCCAGGAGAGGGAAAGTCTACAATAGCCTACATGGCCCTCAAAGATCAGCACACTCAGGGGAGACAAGTGTATCAGGTGGTGTCACCAAAAGAGTTCAATAAGGTCATAGCGGCCAGCACAAACCCTGTCATTATGTTAGATGACATATTCGGTGATCTAGTATTTGATGTAGCAGAATGGGCCAAGTGGAGGCCAAGTCTACGACCTTTTGTGGATATGAAGGATCCAGACAAGACCACTGAAAAGAATAAGATCACTCAAAGTAAAAAAGAGAGAACAAAGGATGAGCAAAC